CATCGGGCGGCATTTTTCTCCGGGCAAGTCATGGTGTCCGGAGAAAAAGTGCCGCCATCCCCCGCTCTGGGGCATGCCAGAAACCTACGGGTGCCCCAATAGAAATTCTGCCAAACAGGCGTCCTAACGAAAAAAAAAAAAATGGAAAGAACTTTTTCGTTTATGATGTTGATTGTGTCGTTTTTAGGGACCAAAATTGCACGTTCACGGAGCCATTCATTAGATTTATTGGAAAGATGAGACATTTCAGGATAAACTTTGATGATTAAATTATTTTGATCAAGAACCGAAATCACAAATGTATAATTTATGTGTATCATGCTATGTTCATCATTCTGAAAAGTTCCGTCACAAATTTTCAAAAGATGTTGTGAGAAAAGCTCGGCATTATAATCATCACCAGGGTGTGCACGCATATTGGTTGTTAAATCCRAGTATCATAAGCATAACCGTCGGCCGTCGGAMACGAGGGGTGGTCAGGGAGGATCGAATTGTAGTGATTGTGGAAACATCTAGAATKCTTGCCATGTTGCCAAATCTACGTAACAGGCCRTTATTTATAATAATTTATAAATCCTTTGTTTATTAAGTTAGRTAWTCGATCAAATGCCATAAACTTTCTCCGAAATGAGCTCTTCAATTTAAAAATAAATCATAATGATCGGTTCAGTAGTTTCCGAGAACATAGGCCTCAAAGGTATTCATTTTCAGATTAATTTAATAGATAATTATTGCAAAAAATACGTATTTATTTTTATACTAATACAAAAAGTGTATAATTACAATTTTAAACAATAAAATAATATTTCATGTTATTTATCATAAAAAATTTAAAATTAATAGGTACATTATAAAATGATTATTTAATAATCACATCGACAATTTTTTAACAGTGTTAAAAAATAAAAATACCCTAATATAAGCTAAACTTTACCAGGCAAAATATGAAATATAAAAATAGTAATCCATCCTTTTCGGATAGTTAATTTTTTAGCCTATAAAATAAATATGACAGCATAWCTACTATTTATATCAAAGCTACTGAGATATTCTGAAAACGTGACGAAATCGTAAAATATATTACATTACTAAACTAAATATTTACTTGAGTTATTTTAGACATTATCTTAAAATTAAGATTGACTTAAACGACTTTACGTTGGTTAACCATATTCTGATATTCATATTATACTACTTAATTAAATAATAATAAYAAATCAATTATAGGTACCTATCCATCTATTAAATTTTTAAATTTTCATAAATCATATGAGAATAATGTTATARGTAACAAATAATTAGTTTTAAATAAACTTAAACAAGTTGAAAGCAATTAAAAACACCCTTCTTATAAAATTAAGTATTCAATATTTTTTTTTGAACCAATTTATTTTACATAAGGGCTCACAAGAAGTAAATAATTAATTTTTATCTTATAATCGAAAAATGATTTTTAATAGGTGTTGTTATTTCTCCTTGAAAAATAATTTTGAAATATTTAAGGTTATCAACCTGGACAACAGGATTAGTTCGATTTTATAACAGTCGCTGACAATAGTAGGAATTTTACACTATTATCTAAACAGACTAAAAAAAAAATTAAATAAAAAACACACTAGCTCAAACAATGTGATATTATGTACAATCATATATTCATATTTGATATTTGGATACCTACATGAAATTATATATATATATATATTTTTTATTATTCACTATAAAGTGTGTCACTGATGCGTGCAAATCAAACGTGTCCCGAATGGGCAAGGTTATCGGGAAATAAGCGCTGCCTCTATAATACAAACATTCGTACACTAATGGGCTTTTCTCATCATTGTAACAATTTCGTTTTTATCAAACTGATAACGAATCGTTTTTATGAWTTTTTTTTCCTGTTGTGTGTAAAATAGTTAGTTAGGTCCCAAGCAGTACCAGTTACCTACATATTACATATGGCTAAATTTGGTATAAAGAGAAATAGTGGAGTACTCTCCGTTCTGGCAAATGGATTGCAAAAACAATGGTCTAGTGGACCTGGGACAGGATGTGCCTTGAAAGTAAAAGGTGTACAATGTACATAGTACCTATATAAGAAGGCAATTTTTAAAGTTATTACCGAATCGTTACTTTCCTCGCGTCTGGTTTCCAAGTAAGATAATCATTCGGTTCTTGCCACTGATAATATTGAGAACGTATATACGATTTTCCTTCACGGGAACGCATCGTCTGTGGTCCGTTGCGCTCCATGCGTATAACAGATATTATAATACCTAAATGTAATGAATATACGATAAAGAGGAAAAATCTTATTCAGATCAATTATGTTTGTTAATCGATGCAGAAATGTCTGACGAAATTATGAATACGAACATTGGAGCGAATGATTTTAAAATGTAATAATATACTTTATACACAGGAAAAACTTTTAAGTTAAGACAATGCAACACTTCACAGTACTCTTAAGGCTTTCGGACCATTGTTGAGGAATTACTCAATCATTTTTTGCAGATCCGAATCAAAAATCAAGAAAATCTTACAGCTGAACACTGAACTCCGATAAATAACATAATTGAAAAACTATTTGTATTTTAACAATGGCCTTGTCATGCAATGGCCAACACACATGATCTGTATGAGCACGGTAATTGAACCATTAATATGTCAATTATCTATTAGTATAAACGTAAATTTGGAGTTGCCTATCGTAGACTGTGTACTTAACCAATAAATATACTTTACTCTTTAATTCGTGAAACGGAATATGGTACATAGCAATAATGTCCAAGAACCTATTAAATATGTATAAATACATTTAAAACACTTATTAAAAAATATATATATATATTTTACATTGTGTTTTCATCATCTATTTAATAAAAAGATTTTATTTCAATTTTCAAATGATATATATTTCTACACTAGATTATATTTTATTTTAATAATATGGTTATCACTATTTCTAAACAAATTACTTAAAAAACGGAACCTTATTAATTTTTACATTTGCGCAGGACACATTAAAATGTATTTGAGACCATAGTTTGTTTTACAAACCAAATTTTACATTTTTGTTATTTATAACTTATAACTTCTATTAGGTATCTCTCCTACAAACATACGCACGGGATGATTCACAAATTGTGCATTGTGAACTCATACAGCAGCATATTACCATTATTTTTAGTACGCGGATGAAATAATTTTCTTAAACTACCAGTTTAATTTTTTTTATGTGATATTCGAATATATATTATTCATACATAATAGCATTTATTATCTTGTTTTTATTATRGCGGTCATTCCGTTATAAAATTGAGGATAGTGAAGGTACTAAAATAAGACTTGGTGAAACGAAAAAAGTATTTCAATAAGATAACATAAAATGCATTTCCTTATCAATAAATCTGCTAACATTTAAATCAAGATGTATTATATTAAATGTTATTAACTAAATACAATTATTTAAATTTAATTATGACTAGGTGCATGCATTAATAATCCGCTTATATATTATAATATACCTATTACACATATTATAATATATTAAATACTTAGAACGCAATTAAAAATTAAAATAAATATGTTATAAACAATTACCTTGACACTTTTTAACGGTTGAAATATCCATAATAGCAAAAATAATTCAAATAATAACTTCATTATTTGTTAAACGTCTAGTTTCATGACTATCAAATGTATTTTAAATCTACATTGATATGATTATTTTGCATTAATCTTTTTGTAACTTACAGTTATTACACCGCATGTTACCTGTCTTAACCTCCAATCATTAAATAACACATTACACTTAAAATGGAATTGTACAGTTTAAGGATATTGATAAAAACGATTGTAATAAATTAAGCAATTACGTAAAAAACACGATAAAATATAAATAATCGCACACAACCATTTCATCCGCTAGACTAAAACGAATGGTGTTCTGCTGGAAACTGACTGCCGGCTATGCCTGCTCTATCGTAGTGTATATATACATAAATATTATATATATATTTACAGGTATAAAAGAATGCCGCCACTTGTTAAAAAATTACAGCATAATGATTGTTTACGCTTGTATATTATGTTACTTCCCTGGTGTCGTTTTGGCGCACTCGTATATTAATAATAGTAATGATAATATTATATTATAAACTGGTTCTTTAGGATAATCCTAAGATTGTACACCTAAAGATATATTTTTWAACGCATATATTTCAATAATAACATTATTTTAGTTTAATTTCAATAATATTTACAGTGTATATTATAATATATGAAATGTATCATAATATTATATTACTTTAACAATAAAAAGGTTTCATTTAATTTTATGAGTTTTAATAATGATAAAGTTATACTATGTAGGTATAGACATACATATTGTATACTCATATTTAATTCAATTATAAGGTTTAAATATATTTACTTCGTATCAATGAAAATCATATGATTATTATTATATATGGTTATTAAATTATATAAGTTACAGAAAAAATTCTTAGAAATCAAAAAAAAAAATGTATTATTAATAAATTGATTTACCATTATTCGTTATAAATACACTTCAATTTTTTTCATAATAGTCTTATCAAATTTTAATTTTAAACTAAAATTAATGGTACATAATTAAATAATTTGAAACAAATAATGAATTCCGACAAAATAATACGCTGATAAAAAATATTTTTGATAAATGAGATGTCATATTAAATCTCAAAACATATTATATTTTATATATCTTATGTGCTGATTACAATATTATACTGTAATAGTGTAGACAAAAAAAAAATTTGTTGGAATAAATCATTACAATTCATTATTTAATTAAGATAAAATATAGATTTAAAAATTAATTACACACACAATTACATATAATTATATTATTTCTCACAATATGTATAAGACTTGCCATATATAAATATTATATTTAAAATAGTCACATTAAGCTTTATTTATTGATTATTAAAGATAAAAATATATGACATGATTATAGTCAATTGACGCTGAAAAATAAACAATTCGTTGTATGACCTCGGGGTTAGAGCTGTTTATAATTAAAATTAATTCAATTACATTAATCTCAATATCCCGATCGATTGCTTTTAAAAACGTATTATTTCACACAGCTAAATAATAACATTATAAATATAAACTTATATATTATTATGTTTGTATATTTTCAAAATAAAATATGTTAAATTAAAAATTAGCTTTACTCATATACGTTACCAAACAATGGCCATTCCATGGTATATTATACAGTCTAACATATTTAATGGATGATTTTTTTAAACTTGTATTCGGTTATTTTTTAAGTTAAAACAATTTTATTTGGATATTTTACTAACCAATTTAATGCCATTAGGAGGAATGACATGGCTTCTTCAAACCATCTGCCTCTCCCAACCTTGGACAATATGGAGCCCCAACATTGTGCAAAGGGTGATGAACACATTAGTGAAGAAAAGTCCGGGAAAGTGTTCACCATAACTTTATGAACAGTCTTGCATAATTAAATTGTATTATGAACAAGGTAGCAATTTTAATAGAATAAAATTAATTGTATACATTTAATTGACTTATAAAATATGCAAACAAATTTGTATTAACTTAAAAATAATTAAGTACTGTTTATTAAAAAATCATCTATTTTCCATGGTCCTCCGATATTTAAAAAAAGAACGAAACATTTTATTTACAATGAGGGTTAAGGAATATAACATATAATATAGTAATACAATATAGCAGAGAAATATAGATAAATTATTATTTTTTCATAGGTATACTTAAAAAATAAAAATGTTATTTTAGATCTTATAGTATATAAGATACAAGGCTCGCTACACTATAATATTATTCCCATAGGGTCTAACTTACAAATATTTAAATCCAATAATTTTATTTTTGTTTATTTACTGATACCTATTATAATTTATAAGGCATAATAAACTATAGTATAGACGAATGCGCTAATACCTTATAGTATAATATGTCTAATACACTTTATAATGATGTATAATTTTAGATGACTTATAAATTATATATAAAAAATAATTATATATATATATATATATATATTATGTATTGCAATTTATTTGCATACAATTAAATTAAGTAATATTTTTTTATTTCTTATATTCATTATACGTATCTATGCCATTTCTATATAATATAATACATATTTATAACTAAGAAACTACAGAAATAGTATTGGCATATTGTATAGTATACTATAGTTGTCTATTATTTATAGTGTGCTCCAAATTCCGATTACATAAAAAGATTGATTGAAACTATCAATCTCTATTTTTTTTTTCGAAAGCTAATAATATCAAGAAGATAATCATGTTAAGCATGCTGTGAAAGTATCACTATAAGTAACCTTATATGATTATAATTTTTAGAAATCGGCATGTGGTTGATACATTTTATGTCACATTTTCAATTATATCATAACAATTTAAAAATAGAATCTACAAGTATTAAAAATACATTTTACTAACGTAGCTAGAAATCAGTAACTCCGTGTAGGTATAGCTAAAATATATCATAAGCTTCTTTGCAAAATTTAACAGAAAAAAAATTTCTACTTATATTGATATTGAAAAAAAAATTTGATACATTAAAATTGTTATGCTGCTATATCAAAATATAATATTATGTGTCAACTTAAATATTCGGAGTTCAGACCAGAGAGTTATATTTATCAAATTACTGGACTTACAATGTTGAAGTTATGATAACTTTGTATTTATAAATTAAACATTATGTAAGCTGTTACAAATAAAATCGTGAATTAATTGTAATTAACTTAGATACTTTTTGTAATATGTAATTACAAATAAAATATTTTATATAAGATAATTAGGTTTATCATGTGAGCAATCGCATCAAGTGTTTATTATAATATTATGTGTAATTTATTCACGCTTTTTAATTTCATATAGCACGATATAGGTACCTTACTGCTTCTATATTATAAAGCCATACATGTATGTTAACAGTAAATTATGTGTAAGTAAAAAAATATACATCATATATATTGTTAAATTTATTGCACAGGCGCGTAGGTAGGTACCATAAAAACTGGGTATGCAGGGTGTGAATTATATTGCACACTGATTTCAGATACAGGCGTATCGAATGGGGCCCACTGACTTGTGAAATTTCATTTGGATAATTTTTACATTGAAAATGGGCTACAAAAATTAATTTCTATACAACGTAGTTATATATCATATATTTTATGAACTATCCGAAAGAAACTTGAAACATTTGAAAAACACTTCAAAAATAAAAGTATTTGAAAAAAATATATATATATATATTTGAATCATTGTATATGATGAATAAATAAACATTGAAAAAAAAATAAGTACTTTAATGTAAATAAATATTTTTAACTATTATTAAAATTATTCAACATACTTAATATGATATTGGTTATCATATTTTAATAATTTGGCATAGAATCATTATTATTTATCCAATACATTTCCTGCCGGACAATTTATTTTATGAACAATTAAAAAAGTTGTAAGTTTGACCTTAAAAAGTATTAAATACCATTATTATAATAAAAGCTTGCCCACAGAAGCCCACGTGTACGATTAAAGGATCTGTGGTTGTGTAGGTATAATATATTAAGTGAGAGTAGTGAGACTCATCGTATTTATAGTTGATTGAATTAATGGATACATTCAATAAGGTTTAACATACTGCCGATTACCATGCCTACTATAAACGCACGTTAATTCATCCATGAAAAAAAGAATCATATTATATTATACCTTATATACAGTAACTCGTCCTTCGCGGATGAAAAAATAAATAAATTACTCTAGCCAAACATAGTACGTAGATAAACATTTCTACAAAAACGAGCTTACACGCCTTGTTTGTCATGCAAACTACGGACTCTTCTATAATATTTACCGATTGTTGTCTAAATCGGAAAGTGATTTCCCCATCTATTGTCTCGTACTCTTTGCTTATATCGGCTAATTCATTTATCATAAAATATTTATAGTCCAAAAAGTATGATTTTTTTTGTACTGTACACAGTTTCAAGCAGTCACAAAACGACGTTTTTATCAAAATATTATATTTTTAAATATTTTTTATTCATATGATTTTTAAAGTTTTTTCTATTTTAATTTCATCTTCGAAAGAAGAGTATTTTTCTGAGTATTTCAATATATAAAAACCGAATTTATAAAGCGAGCGGCTTATGAATTATATTTTTTTAATTCGCTCATTTAAACTTTAAATCATAAACTACTCATCCTAAATTCGGTATTTATGTATCGAAATACTGAGAAAAAATACTACATACCACAAGAAAAGTACGAACATCATGCTGGACCTTCAATCAAACAAAAATATATCTACTTCTTAAATTAAGTTTATTATAAAACTTAATTTAAGCAGAGTGAGTATTTTGTAAATAAAATTGGATGTTTATGTTATTTGGACTAATATATATTTCATATATATATATATATATATATATACAATACATGTAGTAATACTAATTAACATAGGCACAAATAGGGAGGGGAGCTTAGGGGGTATTAGCACCCCCAATTTTAAAATTAGCACCCTCAAATAATGATCATGCTTATGTATCTAAAAATTCTTCTTTTAAAATTAAAAAAAAAACTAAAATGACAAAATGAATAGCATGAGCACCCTATTTTTTTTTATTGAAATCGCACCTATGCTAATTAAAATGACTCCAGTTTTTAAGTACGATAATATTTATCGTTTTGACATTTGTTCCGCCAATAATTTATTGTTAAATAATTATTACGAGGCTTTAATATCCATGGAATTTTATTAGTTTATGTTAGTTTTATTTTTATTTAAAAAAAAAAACTTTCAGTAATTAATGTTTAGAATGGTCCCGGATAGGTATAATTATCAACATTTATT